AATATGGAGGAAGTCTCGAGCGGGAGCCTCGTCTGTGAGTGAATTGCGAGGAAGTCTCAGGCGGGGGCCCCCTCCCTATGGGGCCAGCACTTCATGTCCGAATCCGAGCGGGTCATCCGCAAAGTGTAAGTGTTGTCACTTTCGGGTTCTCGAGGCTTGAATATGGAGGAAGTATCAGGCGGGAGCATCGTCTGTGAGTGAACTGCGAGGAAGTCTCAGGCGGGAGCCCACTCCCTATGGGGCCCGCACTTCATGTTCGAATCCGAGCGGGTCATCCGCAACGTGCAACTGTCGTCACTCTTAGGTTCTGGAGACCTGAGTATGGAGGAAGTCTCGAGCGGGAGCCTCGTCTGTGAGTGAATTGCGAGGAAGTCTCAGGCGGGGGCCCCCTCCCTATGGGGCCCGCACTTCGTGTTCGAATCCGAGCGGGTCATCCGCAACGTGCAACTGTCGCCACGTTTGGGCTCTTGAGGCCTGAATATGGAGGACGTATCACGCGGGAGCCTCGTCTGTGAGTGAATTGTGAGGAAGTCTCAGGCGGGAACTCCCTCCCTATGGGGCCCGCGCTTCATGTTCGAATCCGAGCGGGTCGTCCGCAACGTGCAACTGTCGTCACTTTTGGGCTCTTGAGGCTTGAATATGGAGGAAGGATCGAGCGGGAGCCCCGTCTGTGAGTGAATTGTGAGGAAGTCTCAGACGGGAGCCCCCTCCCTATGGGGCCCGCACTTCATGTTCGAATCCGAGCGGGTCATCCGCAACGTGCAACTGTCGTCACGTTTGGGCTCTTGAGGCCTGAATATGGAGGAGGTCCTCGAGCGGGAGCCTACGGCCCAGCCCGAAGGTTTGTCCCGACGGCTTCGCGATCTAGCCGTCGGCAGACGCGCGCGCGCTGGCCGAGGCGGCGACGGCGCTGAGGAAAATTGATTTGCTTGCCCCGACGAGGGGGAAGGGGAGGTGCACATGGAGAAAAGGCAGGGGGATGAGGAGGGAAGGGGCATGGGGGAGGCCGGCGACGAGGAGGAGGTGGCGCGAGAGGAGGAGGAGGATGAGGAGGAGGAGGAGGAGGAGGAGGAGGAGGAGGAGGAGGAGGAGGAGAGGAAATATGAGGAGGAAGAGACATATAAGGGGGAAGAGAGGGCAGTGTAGGGGGCGAGAGGAGAGGGTGTCCGCCAGGGGGAGGAGGAAAGGGCAAAGGGTAAGCTAAACAGATTCTCATGTGGGGTCCTACCGTCGGAGTAATTTTCTCTGCGCACCCTCCGTGCGGGATCTCTCCTCCTCCTCCTCCCTCTCCTCTGCTCCTCTTTGTTTCCTCCTCCGCATCATCATCACCATCACCATCGCTCCCCACTCATCATCATCATCATCACCATCACCATCGCGCGATCACTCACCATCATCGGCATCGAACGATCATCATCATCATCATCATCATCATCATCATCATCATCATCACGACTCGCTGGCTTGAGGCCTGAATATGGAGGAAGGATCAGGCGGGAGCCTCGTCTGTGAGTGAATTGTGAGGACGTCTCAGGCGGGAACCCCCTCCCTATGGGGCCCGCACTTCATGTTCGAATCCGAGCGGGTCGTCCGCAACGTGCAACTGTCGTCACTTTTGGGCTCTTGAGACCTGAATATGGAGGAAGTCTCGAGCGGGAACCTCGTCTGTGAGTGAATTTCGAGGAAGTCTCAGGCGGGAGCCCCCTCCCTATGGGGCCCGCATTTCATGTTCGAATCCGAGCGGGTCATCCGCAACGTGTAACTGTCGTCACTTTTGGGTTCTCGAGGCCTGAATATGGAGGAAGTATCAGGCGGGAGCCTCGTCTGTGAGTGAATTGTGAGGAAGTCTCAGGCGGGAGCCCCCTCCCTATGGGGCCCGCGCTTCATGTTCGAATCCGAGCGGGTCATCCGCAACGTGCAACTGTCGTCACTTTTGGGCTCTTGAGACCTGAATATGGAGGAAGTCTCGAGCGGGAGCTTCGTCTGTGAGTGAATTGCGAGGAAGTCTCAGGCGGGAGCCCCCTCCCTATGGGGCCCGCGCTTCATGCTCGAATCCGAGCGGGTCATCCGCAACGTGCAGCTGTCGTCACTTTTGGGTTCGTGAGACCTGAATATGGAGGAAGTCTAGAACGGGAGCCTCGTCTGTGAGTGAATTGTGAGGAAGTCAGGCGGGAGCCCCCTCCCTATGGGGCCCGCACTTCATGTTCGAATCCGAGCGGGTCATCCGCAACGTGCAACTGTCGTCACTTTTGGGCTCTTGAGACTTGAATATGGAGGAAGTCTCGAGCGGGAGCCTCGTTTGTGAGTGAATGGCGAGGAAGTCTCAGGCGGGAGCCCCTTCCCTATGGGGCCCGCACTTCATGTTCGAATCCGAGCGGGTCATCCGCAACGTGTAACTGTCGTCACTTTTGGGCTCTTGAGGCCTGACTATGGAGGAAGTATCAGGCGGGAGCCTCGTCTGTGAGTGAATTGTGGGGAAGTCTCAGGCGGGAGCCCTCTACCTATGGGGCCCGCGCTTCATGTTCGAATCCGAGCGGGTCATCCGCAACGTGCAACTGTCGTCACTTTTGGGCTCTTGAGACTTGAATATGGAGGAAATATAGAGCGGGAGCCTCGTCTGTGAGTGAATTGTGGGAAAGTCTCAGGCGGGAGCCCCCTCCCTATGGGGCCCGCGCTTCATGTTCGAATCCGAGCGGGTCATCCGCAACGTGCAACTGTCGTCACTTTTGGGCTCTTGAGCCTGAATATGGAGGAAGTCTCGGGAGTCGTCAGTGAGTGAATTGTGAGGAAGTCTCAGGCGGGAGGCCTGCCCTATCCCGAGCGGGAGCCTCGTCTTCAGTCTCAGGCGGGAGCCCCCTCCCTATGGGGCCCGCACTTCATCCGAGCGGGTCATCCGCAACGTGCAACTGTCGTCACTTTTGGGCTCTTGAGACCTGAATATGGAGGAAGTCTCGAGCGGGAGCCTCGTCTGTGAGTGGATTGCGAGGAAGTCTCAGGCGGGAGCCCCCTCCCTATGGGGCCAGCACTTCATGTTTGAATCCGAACGGGTCATCCGCAACGTGTAACTGTCGTCACTTTTGGGTTCTCGAGGCCTGAATATGGAGGACGTATCAGGCGGGAGCCTCGTTTGTGAGTGAATTGTGGGGAAGTCTCAGGCGGGAGCCCCCTTCTTATGGGGCCCGCATTTCATTTTTGAATCCGAGCGGGTCATCCGCAACGTGCAACTGTCGTCACTTTTGGGCTCTTGAGACCTGAGTATGGAGGAAGTCTCAAGCGGGAGCCTCGTCTGTGAGTGAATTGCGAGGAAGTCTCAGGCGAGAGCCCCCTCCCTATGGGGCCAGCACTTCATGTTTGAATCCGAGCGGGTCATCCGCAACGTGTAACTGTCGTCACTTTTGGGCTCCTGAGGCCTGAATATGGGAGAAGTATCAGGCGGGAGCCTCGTTTGTGAGTGAATGGCGAGGAAGTCTCAGGCGGGAACCCCCTCCCTATGGGGCCCGCAGATCATGTTAGTTCGTTTCGAAATATACGCAGAAGACACAAGCCAGGACGCCTCACCAACCACCAGGACGACCTTGAGGGCTTTTCCCAGATTCGCCCAGAGGATTCTCATGTGGAGTCCTTCCGTCGGAGTAATTTTTGATGATGATGACAATGCTGCTGATGATGCTGCTGCTGATGATGCTGTTGTTGATGATGATCCGCCGGCCCCGTTGCCGGGCCACCAGGCTGCGAGGGTCAATATTGTCGATTCTTTTCAAGTTGCAGCTTCCAGTTTCCATTGTTACAGTCCTGCCTTCTGCGTCCTTGCTATCAAGTGTTGTTGTGCGCGCGAGGGGTGGGAATCCCAAGCGGGATTTTGTACCACGCCTTGGGAGGGTTTTCGGGATTCCCTGGGGCGCGTGGGACATGCAAACATACATGCTACTCGCGTTCCCGAGGCCATACCCCCCAGCAAATTACACCATACTCGCCCCCCGAGGCCATACACCCTTTTATATTAAGCGATGCTCGCTTCCCCGAAGCCATACTCCTATGTAGTGACACAATATCTGCGTCCCCGAAGCAATCCACCCTTGTAAATTATACAGTATTCCCGCCCCCGAAACCATACCCACCCGTAATGTATGGAATCTTCGCGTTCCCGAGGCTATACACCTTTTGTAAGTTACGCGACAGTCGCGTATCCGAATCCACAAACCACACACCACCATAAATTACGCAATGTTTGCGTCCCCGAGGCTCTACAACTTCGTATACATGATATGCCACTTACCAATTGCCGGAGCATGATATTCCGATATTGTTTCACGACGGCGCCGAGAAAATACAGCACAGCTCGGGCGTACCCCATTATGATTGAAAGGGGCCGGCGGCAGGGGGCGAAGTCCTTACGGATAATGATGTTGATATTGATGATGTTGATGATGTTGGTGATGGTGATGCTGATGATGATGTTGCTGATGATGCTGATGATGATGGTGATGATTATGATGATGATGATGCTGATGATGATGATGCTGATGCTGATGCTGATGCTGATTCTGATGCTGATGCTGATGCTGATGCTGATGCTGATGCTGCTGATGATGATGCTGATGATGATGATGATGATGATGATGATGATGATGATGATGATGATGATGATGGCGACGACGATGACGATTATGACGGTGATGATGATGAGGAGGAGGAAGAGGAGGAGGATGAGGATTGGGGGAAGGGGATGTCATGATACAGGGGAGAGGAGAGAGGGAGTGAGGAGGGAGGAAGCACAATGAGTGAAGAGTGGAGAGACGGAAAAAGGAATCTGCGGAGGGAGAGGAATGGGCGGAGGGAGAGTGGGGGCCACAGGATGGGGGTGAAGCGAAGCAAGCGGAGGCGGAGCAGACGGAGAAGAAGACGGAGGAGGAGGATAGACAAGGGAGGATCGGCGAATAGTGTGGAGCTCAGTGGGCTGGCCGAGCGGCTGTGCGCTTGCAGTCCGAGGGTGTCGCAAGGAGCTGACTGCCATGGCGAAAGCGAGCAACACTGACTGCTGCATCGGCCGCGGCCTCGGCAAGGCGGTGGCTCTGCACAGGTGGATGATGTATTCATCGGCACGAGGGTTTCGCGTTCGCCCCCACCTGGATCTTCCTTCGAATTGGTTGTCTGCATGAGGCTTTTGGCCTTTGGCAAAGGTTGGCCCACGTTTGTGTGGCCATTGTTTCGATTGCTTGGGCATGGTAATACGTGCAGATCGTGGTTCGTGGAGATTCCATCTCGGTCTGTGTGCACTCCTCACTCGCTGGACTGAGCGTCTCGAAGAATGTTCGCATGTGCTTGTTTCGCTGTCGGTAGTTCCATACTCCCCTCCCACCCCCCTCCCCCCCTCCCCCTCCCCGTCCACGACCTCTCCTCCCTTTTTGGCGCCCCCCCTCCCATCACCCGTCCTACCCTCCCTATCCTCCTCCACGCCGCCGTTCCCCCATCTATCAATGTTTCCCTTCCCCGCTTTCTATGTTCTTGTCCTCTTCTGCTTCAACTTCTCCCTCCTGCCCCTGCTGCTGCTTTTCTTCCGCCTCCTCCCTTTCCCCCTCCTGCTCTCGCGGGAGGGTATGAGAGTTCTGGTACCTGAAAGTTTGCCCAGGTGGGTTGCGTGCCCGAAATCTAGTGCAGGCCATGGCCCATTGTTGCCTTGCACATCGCAGTATAGTCCCCCCTTCAACGAGGTAGTGTAGTACAGTTCGTTAAATATTCCAGCGCGCCCAGCACGGTCATAATGTCTGCGGCATGAGCATTTGCAACGTTCACCGTTCCGTGAATCCCAGGAGATACAGCTTTGTAGTGCCCCTCATCATCCACGTCCTATTCGTCTCTAACCCTCCTCGTCCTCCTCTTCTTCGACATCCTCTCAATGTTTCCTCCTGCACTTGGCGAGCTTTGACTGGTACTATATGTGTCAGCTCGGTGAAGTTATTCGCTTTACGATATGTGTGAAAGCGGGCTTGATGTCGCATGAGTTTTGATCCTCTTGCGACGTGAATCAACCGTTTCAGATGAGCCTAGCACTTTTTTGTTGTGCCGTGTTGCACTGCTGCAACCATATTGTTGGGGCGTTGCCGTGGCGCCAGCGGACGTCTGGCAGGGCTATCGCGTCTCTAACACACCGCCGCCTCCCACCTCTCAGTACTCCCAGTCTCCAAATCTGCTCCTGTTGCCGCTCCTCCCCAGTATTCGGAGAATTCTCCTCCTCCCCACCCATTTCAATCCCGACATCGTCTTGCTGGAGGTTCAGATTCGGCATTCTATGAGACAGCGTGACAATGGTCGGCATACTTGACTGTACGAAGTGCAAGCGATCCCCTGGCTACCGCAATTTGTGCGAGTGGCTACCACACGCACGTCGTTCCGGTAGAGAGTGCAAGTCCGACTGCAGCGTTTTTCTCTGATTTCCACCGATGTTGCAAGCTTCTGTCCATTTCGCGGCCAGAGCACAAGTCTGAGCCACAAGTAATGTTGATGAAGAGGCAGCTGTGGTGCCACCAGTGTGGTCGCCACCGTCATCTCACACATCAAGGCGGAGTTCGTCTGAATCAGCTGGTTGCGGATTGTCCTGGTGGCTTGAAGGCAAGTTAGGCGTCGATCATGGGGAGAAGTGAGCGAGGTGAAACGCCCGAGCCTGGTACTACGACGCGGCTTTCAGGTGAAGCTGCGAGGCCGTGGGCGCAGGTGTGGCGAGCGCGCCGCAGGAGGTAGACCTTCCTCCTACGTCTGCCACCCTGTGCCGTTTTCATCCACCTCACCTCTTTTCTTGTCTCGTCGTCGAGCCTTACTTGTTCGAGTGCGTATGCCGGGTTTCTGCTGGTGCTGCTGTCCCTTCCATCGCCCCTTGTAAATTCAGTATCCGGCCCCCCTGCCCACCCTCCATTCTCCCACTCTGCGGCGGCATCGTCTTCTTCTTCTGAAGTGAGGGGGGGCGGGATGGCGGAGTGTTTAGAGGGACGGGCGCCACCGGTGGGGGATGGGGGCGCTTGCAAATCGGACCCCGATGGGCGATTGCGCAAGTGCCAAACCAAGCCAAGTGGGTGCAGGGCTAGTCAGACAGGGCGTGGCGTTGGTGTTGCGTATGGCGCGCACGATTTCGATACATCATCAACGTTCCCCTCTTCATGTGTTACGCTCAGTGCGCGCATCTGTCTCGCATTCTCGGCCTGTGCCATTCCTACTTCAACGTGTTCCTGTTATCCCGTGTCCTAATCCAGCATGGCCGCCCGAATACGTGTTATGTTGATGGCTTGGTTTTTGACCCTGTGCTCGACACCGCGAATGTTATTTACGATATGAGAGAGATACCCCAATCGCGCCCCAATCCGATTCAGTTTTTTTTTGTTGTTCACTGGTTGCATCTTACACCGCTGTTCTTTTCCCTCATCTTCTTCATGTTCTAATTTCCAGCTGCCTGCGGCAAGTTCCGTCGCCGTGCCAGCCCAAAAGTTTGGATATTGCGTATTCGAGGAGCGCGCATGACATCGTGACGCGTGACATTTCGTGAGCCGAAGTTTGAGGTAGCCGTACACTGAACACGCTGTTCCGTTTCCCGTCGACGTGTCTCTCTTCGTGGTCGTCGTTTTGTTTTCTTTTCTTCCTCTCTTGGGACTTCCTGGGGGCGTCTTGGGGGCCGTTTGGGGGAGTCTTGAGGGCACCTCGATGCGTTCGGGGCTCTCCTTGCGCAGTCGTTGGACTCTTTGGGGCAGTCTGGCGCCTTCAGAGTCTGTCTTGGGGTTTGGGTGGACCGTCTTGAGGCCCTCTGGAGGTCCTGAAAGGTCTTCGTGGGGTTTCTTTGGCCGCGTTGGGGCCATCTCGGGCTGGTTCGGGGCTCAACTGAGCCATCCTGCGGCTCTCTTTGACATCGGGAGGGTCTCCCGGGGTCGTCGTGGGGCCGTCCTGGAACTCCCTTGGGCCGTCCGGGGGGCCTCTCAGGCCGCCTTGGGTCCGTCCGGATGTCCTCTTGGGATAAGTTGGGCTCTCTTTGGGCAGTTCTGGGCCCTTTTGGGGTTCTCAGTGGGCTCCTATCTCTGGACCCGTCGAAAACCGCAAGTGGACCGATCTTCGACCAAAGAGCGTGGAAAGCGCTATAGATCGAAGGGGTGTTAGTACGTTTGCCTTTTTCCAGATTCCTGGAGAGTATCTTTCGGATGTTTGGGGGCCTCTTGGAGGCATCTTGGGATTTGTTGGCGCTTCTTGGGGACGCTTGTGTGCGGGCCGTTGAGTTAATGTTGGGCCATCTTGGCGGCCTTGGTGATCTTTCCCAGCCAAGCCGTCGTGGAAACTGCAGAAAGCCTTGCAGAGCGCCAGGGAGGCGCCGGGCCACCGAGGAAGCCTCGGGAGGAGGTGGGGGGCTGTGTATGCCCCACGTTGTGACGAGAGGGATGTGCGGTCCCTTGGACGATTTAGAAGTTCTACCAGACAACACTGGGTATTTTGACACGCCCCCCGAACCTGCCAGGGGGCGCGGTGTCGGACTCTTATCTGTCCTCTTCCTCGATTCCCTCTCCTTTATTTAATCGCTTCGCTCATTCCGCCGGCCCGTATTGTGCCATCGCAGGCGTTTGCTTGCGCGTTCGTGGCCTCCTCGGTGGGGCCGTTTGGGGCCTCTTGGCGCCTCTTTTTAGGCCTCTTGGAGAACTCGGGAGGCCTCCAGGGGGCCTCCTGAGCTCTCGTGACGGTCTCTTGGGGGGCTTTCGGCGGGCTCTTGGCGGTATTTGTTGGTCCTCTTGGGGCCTGGGGCCTGACGTTGTTGGTCCTCTTGGGGCCTCACGGGAGCTTATTGGGGCGTCTTGGGGGTGTCTTGGAGAGTCTCTTGGGGCCTCTTTCGGGGTCCTGGGCGCCTTCTGGGGCGGAGGGCTCGATTTTTCAGTTCTCGGTTCCCTTCTTGAGCCCCTCTTGGGCCCGTCTTGGGGCCTCTTGGTCCGCCTTGGGCAGCACTTGGGCCGTCTGGGGGGCGCTCTTGGGCCGCTCCGGGGCCGTCTTGGGAGCCTCGTGGGCCGTCTTGGAGCAGTCTTGAAGGCCTCTTGGGCCCTCTTGGAGCGTCCGGAAGCGAAAAGGCCAGAACGCAAAAAAACATAGAAAAAACAAATGAAAATCAACGATTTTGGCAACTTGGGGCCCTCTTCAGAGGCCTCTTGGAAGGCCCTTGGAGCGTCTTGGAGGCCTCTTGGGCTGTCTTGGGACCATCTGGGGCGTCTTCGGGCGATCTTTGGCCGTCTCGGGCCTCTCTTGGACCGTCTAGAAAGCTTTTCGGGGCCCTCTTGGACCGATCTGGAGCCCTCTTGGACTCCGAAACAGAACTCCGGCATCTCTGACCCGACCTTGCCGGGACCTTGCCGGGGACTTGCCGGGGACTTGCCGGGACCTTGCCGGGGTACTTTTCGTCCGGGGACCCGCCCCGCGCGCGCGAATTAGAAATACTGTTAATCAGGTACCGGAGATCTTAGCACGCCCTGGCCCGTTGGGCCGGCGAATTTGTTTCTTGTATTCCTCTTCCTCGTCCTCTTCCCCTTCGCCCCTAGACCTCCACCTCTTTTCCTTGTTTTTTTTCCTGTACCCACTGCCACGATCTATCGTTAGTCAGGTGTGGTCCAGCTTTGCCGTCGTACGCCCGACCGTGCTGTGTGCGCGCTGAGGCCAAACTGTCAACCTGATGAAATGCACCTCCGGCAGCTACAAGGCGTCTGGCTGCGCCGAGGAGTTCGTCGCCATGCGCGAGTGCAACCGTGCCGGTACGAGGGATCGCTTGAGACAGGGAAGTTACGATAGACATGGATAGTGTTGGGCGGCAGGCATTCGGCGAAACTTTGTTTGTAATCGAATCGCGGGCCCAGGCGGGCTGCTGCCCAAATCGTCAAGGGTTACAGTCACCAGCACGCCCAGCGCCTTTGTTGAACATTCGGCGCAGTTGGCACTCAAGCATAACACTTTCTAAATATGTGTGTGTGTGTTTGTGCGTGTGTGCGGGCGTTTGTGTGTGTGTGTGTTTGTCGATGGCGAGCTTGGTGTCTCGGAGCACTGTTTTGGCTCCTTCTCCCGGCCGCCCTGGCCCTTAGTCGGCTCCGCCGACGCACCCTGCCATTCGGGGCTCCTACACGCCGCCATACCCCCGCATGATTTACGGACGGCGACTTTGCGTCATTTCGCGGATCATTGTGGACCGTCACGGTTCAGCAGCGTCTCGTGCCGCCAACGGATCAATAGCGACGGCCTCACCGTGAGGATCGCTGGCGTGCCCTGGCCACCCGCGCCTCCGAGCGCGGGCCAGTCCTGCTTCTCTGCGACGCTTCGCGGCACGCATAAATGTTTCTTTTCGCAGTTTTTGACGCGGCTCAGCTCCAGTCTCATCTCAGACGTCTCCCTCGAGCGGCTGCTGCTGCTCCTCGACGTTCCGGCGGTGCTCGCCGACGCACGTGTCCCTTTGTACGCGCATCTGCCATGCTGGTCGCCAACGTTGCTAGCCCCGACGCTGCTGCCCACCCCAGCCGCCGCTCCGTAGGGGCTGGCCCGCCGGCGTCTGTTGCGCCACTGCCCGCTGCCCGCCGCCCCCCGCCACTTCCCCGTGATGGGTCTTCGGTTCTCTGAAACAGTAACCGTTTTAGCATGCCAGCCTTGTCTGTAAATTCCCACTAGACACCCTTTTAGCCTCGAGAGGCCCCGAGTGCGTTTCAGCTTCTATTATTGCGATTACTGTGAATGTTCTGCAGTTTCAGCTTGCATATTTGCCCCTCTCAGGCTTGTGCCGTTGCATGGCCGCTTCGGTCAAACCAGCTTGAGGGGCCCCTCTTGTAGAGCCGCCAGCCGGCGACATCAGACAGATAACTCAACATATAAACATCCACAGGCAATCATATTATACAACAGTCAGATCAGCGGTCTGAGATTGCCGGGCTCGAGGCCCGAATCATTATTCCGCTCCCGCCGGGAGCTACATACGCAGGACTGAAGGCCGTGGCGACGCTCCGCTCGCGGCAGTGAAAAGAAGTCCGATCACATTGGTAGCGCACGTCGTGAACTTGAGTTCTCGCCACGATGTCGTACCCGCCCTCGGAACATGGAGACGAAGGGGAGAGCTACGGTGTCTTGAGGAGGCGCCGTGGTCGGCGCGGCCGAGGCGGCAGCAGCACATCAGACGACGCCGCTGACGACCCGCTCTACCCCCGCGGCCCCGCCCCTGGAGTCCGATGGCGCGGAGGTGCACCGCCAGCGGCCCCGACCTTCTCGGGGGATCGCAGAACGGACCCGCGCTGTTGGGAACACTGGCGTGATGCGGTGGACGCGTGGAAGTTCCGAGTCAAGCGCTGCCTGCCGCTCGCTGAGGCGGCGTTGCAGCCCAGAGATGCCGTCGCGGGGGAGGCGCTGAAGGAGATCATCTCCGAACCGCCGATGACATGGGGCACCCAGGACGGCATCGAACGTTTGGTTGAAGTTATGCGCTCGCCCTTCGGCGAGGAAGAGATTTTCCACACGGGCGACCTGCTGGCAGCGTACGAGAGGATCAAGAGGAGTCATGGTGAGAAGCTCCATGCCTACTGCACCAGGTACGTCAGAGTTGAGCGTGCGCTCAAGCAGGTCAAGATCAATATAGCCGAGTCTCTAGACGCCCAGGCTCGCGGACACCGCTTGCTGAGCACGGCGCTTCTCGGCGAAGAACATGTACGAGGTATTCTTCCGATTTCCCACAACTACGAGTTCGACGGGATCATGAACGCCATCGGGCGCCTGTACCCGGAGAGGGCGGCGGCGCCGCCAGTGGTCTGGCCGCGCCGCGAGAGGGCGCCGGGCGACAACCGCGAGCGAGGCCACGGGCAGGAGCCTGGCGGCGGCCCTCGGCGGCAGCAACCACCTGCGCCGCCCAGCCGCCCCGCCCTGCTGGACAGGCCGTCGGCTCCGCGGCCGCCCCCGCCTCGCCACGCGGTGAACGCCGCCGAGGCCGCGATCGAGGGGGGTCAGCTCGGCGAGGAGGCTGCCGAGCACGAGGATGAGGTCGACGGCCAGCCAGATGACGATGAGCCCAATACGGAGGAGGCCGCCGACCAGGGACCCGCCGAGTTCGATGAAGTGCACGAGGCTATGACGGCCTTGAACGACGTTCTCAGCATCACGTCTCAGAAGCTGAAGGGGATCACTCAAGCTCGAGGTTTTTCTCACGCCAAGGGGAAAGGAGGCCCCCGCTCATCCGCACCTCGCCAGGGCGCCGACCAGATCGAACAGAGAAAGAAGACGGAGGCGTGCCTGGATTGCGGAGAGCTCGGTCACTGGGCTGGGGACGCCGCCTGCAAGAAGCCAGGCGCCAAGCTCGGGCCGAAGCCTTCCAGTTCTCGCGTTGGACCTCCAGCAGAGCATGGAGGGCAGAGAAAAAACCGTTTCATACATCTATGGTATTTTCTTCCTCCGCTCCCGCCCCTGCCAGCTCCGCCCATGTTACTTCGTCCTCTACCATGCGTGCGTGGATGATGTCTCAGTCAGTCTTCAAGGGCCTGGCAGTCGGAGATTCAATCGAGTATATCGACGAGTTTGACGGTAAGAGTTGGATGATTGCCGATACCGCGTGCCAAAGGATGGTCCATGGATCCGCTTGGGGGGCATTCACGCCCAGAGGCTCGAAGACAGATCCCTGCCCCTCGTCGAGCGGGCCGCCCAGGAGAGGTTCAAGTTCGGCGAGGGCCCCGAGATCCACTCAGTCCTCCGATGGGGTTACCCGATAGGCATCGCAGGTGTGGCGCTCTGGGCTAGGTCTTCCGAGGTGTCGTCCGCGATTCCCCTGCTAGCCTCCAACGAGTTCATGGTCTTCTTGGGGGCCTCCATCAACGTGTTCGTGGGGGCAATCAGCTTCTTGGCGGTCGGGGTTACGACCTCCCGCTTCAGAGGGCCAGGAACGGCCAGCTCATCGTGTGCATCTCCAAGTTCCCGAACGAGTTACCTGACTTCTCGGATTGGGACACCTTGGATGAGGACGTCACCCTACCCCCCGATGCGAAGATCAAATGTGAACACCGTCGAGTGCGACACCTCGAGCGAGTACAACTGAACCAGAGGACCTCGGCGAGCGAGTCTACCAATATGGACGTGCGATGACACCAGCGATGCGTGCACTTCGACATTGCCGACGACGGCCTAGCCGAGTGCGAGACCCCCGAGGGCGCCATCGAGATCGAGCGATCCGAGTCGACTAGCCAGCCATCTTCGGTCAAGCAGCCCAGTCCCAGCAGCTGCCAGCTTTCCATATCCGAGCCTTTGGCTCCTCCCATAATGCAGCCAGTCCGCCGCAGCGGATGCGGCCGCAGATCCGCGAGAGATGGAACCGACTTCTCATGCGCCTGTGGGCGGTCATCTACGCGGCCCTGAGCGCAGGTCAGGCCTTTCGAGCTTCGTTGATGACGGGCACGGGCTTTCGGAACGCGTTCCTGAAGGCGACGCCGCTCCTGGCTGCCTTCGTCAAGGGATGCGCCGAGGGTCTGAAGGCGCACGAAGCCTACCTGGACATGAAGGCGCCCAAAAGACGCGAGCCGCGCGACCACCAGGACTCGACCACGGGGGTCTCGACCATCAAGGAGTACTGCGCGGGTCGCCACGGGTGGTGCGCCAGGTGCCAGCAGCCGGCGTGCCAGATGAGGTGGAAGTGGATCGTCACCGACACCCAGTGGATCGAGTATCCCGACGACCTTCCCAAGTCATCGCGGGCATCCCCCTCGCGGCCGCCGCCGCTGTCACCGGCAGCCATAGCAGCGAGAAGCACCGCATCGCCAGCAGCGCCGAGCGCATCATCTTCGAGACCCTCAGTCCCAGCACAGTCCTTCACGGCGCCCCGCTGCAAGGTGATGTCCAAGCAGGCGCCAGCCAGGCGCCGCCGCCCCAGGGAGACCGACGCCATCATGGAGGAGGACGACTCGGACGGGGAGATATCCAACGAGGGCTTCGAGGAGCTCTGAAGCGTCGCATCGGCGACCTCAACCGCACCATCTCCGCGCACGAGGTCGAGGCTAAGGTTCGGGACGTCGTCGACAGCGCCGCCCGACAGGTCAACGCCGAGGCGCCGCGCCACGTGCACATCCTCGAGGGCTTCGCCGGACAGGGGAACATCGCCAAGCGCGCGCACCTCTTCGGCCTCGCCGCTCTGCAGCCCGTCGACCTCATCTACGGCTTCGACCTGGGCGCGGTCGCTGGTCGACGGAGGTGGGGCCACGCCGTCAAGACGTTCAAGCCGCCGGTGGTTATCATGGGTTTCCCTTGTACGAAGTGGTGCTGGTACAACTGCGCGATTAACTACCGTGACTTCCCCGACCTCCTCGCTTCCCTCCAGGGCAAGGATCGGCCGCTGCTCAAGCTTGTCGCATGGACCGCTCTCGAGCAACAGAAGAACGGCAGGTACTTCCTCCTCGAGAACGCCGACCAGAGCCAGGCGTGGGAGCAGCCCGAGTTCGACCCGCTCTGGAAGGACCACCACACCGTCTGGGGACGCGGCGACAGCTGCCCCTATAACCTCAGGGCCCTCAACGGCGAGCTGATGTGGAAGACTCTGACGTGGGTAAGCAACCATCCCAAATTTGCGGAGTCGGTGACCCGCAGGTGCGATCGCAGCCATCGTCACGCTGAAGTTCAAGGGCGCGATACTTCTCGCTCTCAGGTATTCACCGAGGAGCTCGCATACAACATCCTGACCGTCGTGCAGCAGGTGGTCGCAGTCCGATCGCCTGCTTCGCTCGCCTGGACATCTAGCTACGACCAGTGCCGGTACGGATGGCGCCCTCAGGACAGCACCCCCGCGGACCGCCACGACCAGCTCTACAGCGCCTGGTTCGTCGACGTCGACCGCGACACCGACGAGCGGCAAGTTGTTCTCACCCAGACGATGCTCATGATGGAGGATCGGGCCCGCGACACCTGGGAGCTGCCGCCAGGCCACGAGATCTACCAGCGCATCCAGGACCTCGTGCCATGGGAGCTCGTTCGAGTGCAATCCGCCCGGGTACCGAAAGCGCGTAGGCACGCAGTCGACATCGTCTACCGCCACCGCGGCATGGCCGCCATTGCCCACGCAGGTAACATCATCGTCGAGACTGAAGCGCTGAAGGACGTCCAGTACCCGAAGCTCCGCTTCAGCGAGCCGATCGCCCTCGCCATCTTCTTCTTCGGGAACGCGCCTGAGTCGGCCAGCGCCGACGGCGAGCTGCCTTCCGAGGTGCCGCAGCCAGGGCCTGCTGCTGCCCAAGTTCACCCTGAGAGCGCCGCGGAGCCTCCAGTGGAAGAGCCGGGCGCGCGTCCGCCGGCGCCGCCAGTTCAGGCTGCCGATCCCGACCTCTACTCTATCGCAGGGTGCCGCATCAAGTTCCCTAACCTCAGCGATGACCAGTGCCCCCGCGAGATCAAGGCGATGGTCGCCCGCCCCCACTGTCATCGCGGACACGCTGGCCGCGAAGATCTCCGACGTTTCTGCGCCTGGCAGGGGGCCAAGCCATCAGTCTACCTGGCGAGCGACTTCTTGAAGTGCGAGGCCTGCGAGCGGACTCACCCGCCAGCCAGGCCCAAGCCGATCTCCGCGACGATTCGGTACCTGGGTCAGTTCCGCGAACACCTCCAGACCGACTTCTTTACTATCGTAGACGTCACCAACACGCCGCGCCACATGCTCGGTATCATATGCCTCAACACACACCTCCACCGCGTGAAGCGCGTGGTCGACCGCTTCCCCGAGACAGCCGTGTCCGCCTTCCTGGAGGCATGCGCGCTACCGATCGGCATGCCGATGGCCAGCACCGTCGACATGGACGGCAGCTTCATGGGCTACTTCAAAGAGCGGCTCGAGTCGTACGGGGTCAACGTCTCCTACTGCCCGCCCGACGCACATTGGCAGATCGGGACCGTCGAGAGGCATGACGCGTCATGGAGGTGCATCTGGAATCGGACATGCGACGCCTGTGCTGTGAAGACCGCCGAGGAGGTTGACATGACTACCATTGCCGTCAGCGAGGCCAAGAACAACGCAGTTCGCCGGGCCGGGCGCTCCGCTAACCAGTGCGCCCTGGGAAGGACTCTTCGTATTCCTGGCGAGTTGCTCTCCGACGATCACGGCCTTGCCGTCGCCGCCAACGCCACTAACTCGCAGCGCGTGATGAACAGCGACTTCTACCGCATGGAGGCCAACATCCACACGGCCCACTTCAACTACGAGCAGCACGTAAGGAAGTCGCTCCTCAGGAAAACCAGTCACTTGCGCTACGACCTTGACAAGCTCGTCGCAGGCCAGCAGGTTGGATGCTGGCGCCGGGACGCCAAGAAGCGCCCCAGCGGCAAGTCGTCGCGCCCAGGCTTCGCCATTGGCACCTTCCTACAATGGGACGGCGGACAACAAGGACACGGACTCGGCCGCAATGTTTGGGTCAGAGTCGGTCAGGCCATCAAGCTCTTCAGCCGCGAACAGCTTCGACCAGCCATTGGTTTCGAGCAGTGGGTGCCCGATGCCAAGGACATCGAGGTTCTTAAGAGCAGCTTCGACCTCATGAGGGGCGACCTCTGGGAGAACGAGCGAGACGCCGGGCCCGCGCCCGACGACCTGGCGGAGGAGGCCGGCATCTTCGTCGACGGCGGCCGCAACCTTCTTCCAGGCCGCGAAGGACTTTTGCCTCCACAGCCTGCCGATGCCGATCATCCTGGAGCTCAGCCCGTTCCAGTCGAGCCGCCGCCAGCCGCGGCGGCCCCGCCTCAGCCAGAGGCGATTCCGTGCGAGCCGACGCCGGTCGAGACCGAGGTCCCGCGCACGATCCCTATGGACGCGGAGGTCACTCAGGCCACTGACTCCGTCTCCGCAGAGCCGAACACGATCGAGACCGATCTGAAGGTCAGCACCCCCAGGTCGCCTCGCAGCCGAGCCGCCGAAAACGAAGTCCCTCCAGAGGCCGACCCTCCAGACGAGAAGAGGCCCCGCGTGTCTACCTTGTGTGCGCAGGCTTGGCTGACGTCTTTCTGGGCCACCGAGGTCGGGGGCGGCGCTGACGGCCCCGGCGAGACGCCCGCCGTGTTCGCCAATGTCAGCCGTTACGCCGACTACGCGGACGAGATCGAGATCATCTACCAGGTGAACGCCATCGTCGCCGACGACGGGCCCAAGCTTCCCCTGGTGCCCGACTCCGAGGACGACGAGCCTGCCGACCAGAACCAGCCCACCATGACGAGGGCCGAGCGGAAGGCCTACGACCGCGAGATCCCGTGGCGCGAGATCATGAATATGGACGGCTCCACCATCCAGAGCTTCCTGCAGGCCACGCGCAAGGTGTACAGCAACTGGGTCAAGTGGGCGCCGATGGTCGCAGTGCCAGACGACGTCGCCAAGGACATGCTCAACTCGCCCGAGATCCGCAAGAGCTGAATCCGGGCGCGATGCTGCTATCGTGACAAGAACTGCGGCCAAGGAGAGCTTGCTGCGAAATGCCGGGGAGTTGCCGTCGGTTGCAGCGACCCGAGGCTCGAGGCGCTCGAGCGGAGGTCCCCCACTACGCAGCGCATCAGCTTCTTCGCAGCATGCCAAATCCTCGCCAGCATGAAGATCTACGGCGCAGAGGGCAACTGGACCGCCTGTGTCGGCGACCTCGAGAACAGCTTCTTCCAGGGCAGCCGCGAGAGGGAGGACAAGGTCTACCTCATTCCACCGCGTGACCCACTGGTCATCGCCACTGGCTCCTGGCCAGATACGTTGTACGAGGTGACCGGCAACATCTACGGTTTCGCCGACGCCCCACTGGTGTTGTGTCGTCACATTCGACGCAAGATATACGATTTGGGTTTCGTAAGTCGTAGCCTGGACGTGATGTGTTTTCTGAAGTTCGATAAGGGGCGTTTATTGGCCATTGTCTTGTGGTACGTCGACGACATGTTCGCCGTATACGCCGAGAGCCGTTTCGATTTCTCCCAGCTGGAGAAGGTTTTCGTGTGGGGCAAGCTCGTGTATATGCCTCAGGAGCTCGTGTGGTGTGGGCGTGAGATCAACCAGTGCCACGACGGCCGAGTCGTCATCACTCAGAAGGAGTACGTCAAGGGTTTAGAGGTTCGCCGCATCCCACCCAGCCGCATCCGAGAGGGAGGTTCCCTTACACCCGCAGAACGGACCGAGATGCGGAGCTGTATTGGATGCGGTCAGTGGTTTTCGGGTATATGCCGTCCGGATGTTTCGTCATACGTATCGACGTTGCAGAGCGAGGGCCCCCAGATTTCCGATCTTAAGGCGATGTACAAAACCATAGATCACCTGAAGAACACGCCAGAGGTTGGGATTACGACGATGCCGTTGCAGTTGTTTAACGATTCCGGATATATCGACGTGATTACGGTTGCGCACGGTGACTTGAGTTGGGCCAGCGCGCAGCAGATGAAGAGCCAGACCGGAGCGATGATCGTTTGGGCCAATCGAGATGCACTCTCAGGGTCAGCACCTGCCTCGTTGGCCGATTGGAGGAGCGCGAGGACACAACGCCTAGTGAGGTCCACCTTGTCAGCGGAGGCTTGTGCCGCTGACGCAGCCGTTGATAGAGGATGTTATGCTTCTGTGTTTTGTCAGAGGTTTTAACAGGCCGTTCATATATAGCCAACCGCATGGCTGACCGCACGCCGCCTAGTGTGCCGCTCTATGCTATCACGGATTGTAAGAGTTTGTACGACTGTGTTACTCAAGAGAACCCCAGCTTGGATGAAAAGCGGGCGCTTCTCGATGTTCTTTCTATCCAGACCCGTCTTGGTCTAGGTTCGATGAGGTGGGTCCCAACCTCTAACATGATAGCCGACCCCCTCACGAAAGTGTCCGATCAGTTGCGCGACAGTTTAGTTCAGTGGCTCCGCGAGCCCGCCATCGATTTGTTTGGAGCCGTTGCCGAATCAGTATCAGCTTTTGCGTGATTTCTATTTCTGCCTTCAGACGTCTCTCGGAGTTTTCAGCCAGCAGAAGAGAGAGACCAGTCTGAAACAGTAACTGTTTTAGCATGCCAGCCTTGTCTGCAAACTCCCACTAGACACCCTTTTAGCCTCGAGAGGCCCCGAGTGCGTTTCAGCTTCTACAGGTTCTGCAGTTTCAGCTTGCATATTTGCCCCTCTCAGGTTTGTGCCGTTGCATGGCCGTTTCGTTCAAACCAGCTTGAGGGGCCCCTCTTGTAGAGCCGCCAGCCGGCGACATCAGACAGATATCTCAACATATAAAGATCCACAGGCAAGCCTATTATACAACAGTCAGATCAGCGATCTGAGAGTGCCGGGCTCGAGGCCCGAATCATTATTCCGCTCCCGCCGGGAGCTACATACGCAGGACTGAAGGCCGTGGCCACGCTCCGCTCGCGGCAGCGAGAAGAAATCCGATCACAGGTTTCACCCTTGCACTTGCCGGCTTTCCAGTATCGATCCTTGGTGGACTCGTTGAGCCCGGTTTCGATTCTTTGATCGCTCGAGCGGTGTTCGCCCTGGCTGCGCGCAAACGAAAACAAAGTGTGTATGTGTGTATGTGTGTGCCACCTGTCCTCCGACTCTACCTCCCTACCCAACTTGGCGTTCTCGTATGTGTTGTTCCTGCTTCAGTTTCCTGAAAACCCTTGCTCTTTGCTTTTTAGCGCTCGGCTATGCCCGCTTCCCTCTGGCACCCACAGCTGTGCTCAAGCTCCCACACAAGTTGATCAATCGACTTGGCGCGTGACTCTCCTGTTGTTATCGTTGTTGAGTTCTCATGTTTAAGGAATAGTCGTTGGTGATCCCACCTCTGGTGCACATTGCACTTTTGAATTGGAGTGCCCCTCCCGGAGCTCACACCTTGTGTCTTGTAAGGAAGAGTATTGGGCCTCAGAGTGGGTGTCGCCCCCGAGTTTCGACACCAGCGGTTCCCGCTTGAAACTTCCTCGCAGTTATGAAAAGATCGGTCTTTCGTTGGATACTTCCTCGTGGTAGTTTGCCCCAGAACCGCGATCTCGTCTAAGAGTTCCTTACAATGCATACACGAATCAATCTTTCGGCGCCCTGTAATCGCGCTCTCGCTCAGGACATCCTCATCATTGACTCAGGAACAGCGCTCTCGCCAAAGACTTCCCTGCCATCCCCTCTTGCTAGTCCCGCTTGCTGATCCCTCCCGTCTTCCATCTTAACCCTTCCTCTTGCCCCTCCCTCATCCCAACCATCCTGTGGTGTTGGGTCCTCGTTTTGAAAAGACAGCGCCCCGCTTTCGTTTTTTCCTCCTTTCCTCCTCCCCTCCCTCCTCCCTCCTCCCCTCCCTGCCTCTGCCCTCCGAATGTCCATCCCGTTTCAGCACCCCTTCACGGGGCCGTTGCCCCATAGGGACCTCCACCGAAGGCCCCAGTGGCTGCGCCCGCGTGGCACCACCGAACCCATTTTCCGCACACCCCTCACACGTTTCGTGGCCCCATAGGGACCTCCACCGAAGGCCCCAGTGGCTGCGCCCGCGTGGCACCACCGAACCCATTTTCCGCACACCCCTCACACGTTTCGTGGCCCCATAACGACGTCCACCGAAGGCCAAATGGCTGCGTTCGCATGGCACCACCGCACCCATTTCGGCACACCACTCAAACATTTCGTGGCCTCAAAGGGAGCTCCACCGAAGGCCGAAGTCGTTGCGCCCACATGGCGCCACCGCACCCATGTCGGCACACCCCTCACAGGCTTATTGGTTCCATGAGGACGCATGGCACCACCGCACCTTTTTGTCTCTCGCACCCATGAAAAGTTTCGTGGCCTCAAAGGGAGCTCCACCGAAGGCCGAAGTCGTTGCACCCGCATGGCACCACCGCATCCATTTCGACACACCCCTCGCACGCTTCGGAGCCCCATAGGGAGCTCCACCGAAGGCCCCAGTGGCTGCGCTTGAATGTCGCAAGGCACCACCGCGCCGTTTCGGCACCCCCTTCATGGGGCCCCATGAAGACCTCCACGGAAGGCTGAAGTCATTGCGCCCGCATGGCACCACCGCACCCATTTCGGCACACCCCTCACACGCTTCGTGGTCCCAGGACCTTCCACCGGAGGCCAAGTGGCTGCGTTCGCATGGCACCACCGCACCCATTTCGGCACACCCCTCATGCGTTTCGTGGCCCCAAAGGGAGCTCCACCCAAGGCCGAAGTCGTTGCGCCTACATAGCACCACCGCATCTATTTCGGCACACCCCTCACACGTTTCGGAGCCCCATAGGGAGCTCCACCGAAGGCCCCAGTGCCTGCGCTCGCATGGCACCACCGCGCCGTTTTCAGCACACCATTCACACGATTCGTGGCCCTATTGGGAGCTCCGCCGAAGGCCCCAGTGGCTGCGCCCGCATGCCACCACCGCACCCATTTCGGCACACCCCTCAAAAGTTTCGTGCCCCCATAGGGAGCTCCACCGAAGGCTTAAGTCGCTGCGCCCGCATGGCACCACCGCGCCCATTTCGGCACACCCCTCACACGGTTCGTGGCCCCATAAGGACTTCTACCGAAGGCTTCGTGGCCCCATAAAGACCTCCACCGAAGGCCCCAGTGGCTGCGCCCGCATGGCACCACCGCGCCCATTTCGTCACATCCCTCACACGGTTCGTGGCCCCGTAAGGACCTCCACGGAAGGCCAAATGGTTGCGTTCGCATGGCACCACCGCGCCCATTTCGGCACACCCCTCAAAAGTTTCGTTGCCTCAAAGGGAGCTCCACCGAAGACCGAAGTCGTTGCGCCCGCATGGCACCACCGCACCCATTTCGGCACACCCCTCACACGTTCCGTGGCTTCATAGTGAGCTCGACCGAAGAGGATACTTTCGCACTTCCGCGGTATCACAGCTGCATATGGTTGGTTGTTTCGGCAGGATAATTCAGAGCTGCGCCAGGTACATGCGGGAGGGAAGGAACACATACCACCGGGGTACGATCAGAGACGATGGGGGCAGGTATCGAGGGTTTAGGGAGATACATGTTGAATGGCACGCGAGCGTATGAGAACGAACAGTCTTAACATGATTGTTTGTTGGCGTTGGTGTTGGTGCTGTTGCTGTTATTGTTGCTTTGTTTGTGCGTGTGACATACCCAGCCGTCGGATCGCGTTGTTGGTGGCCTTTCTCTTCGGCCGCGGGCCTTGGGTTCGGAAACTCGACCGCAGTAGTGGCACGCGGTGCACTGGCTCAGGTGTCGCCTGCTTACTAGCCACCTCTCCTTCGTCGTCGTCCTTCCTCCTTCTCGGTGCTGGGTGTGTTCTTCTCAGCCTTGTTGCCCTTCTCGGCTTCTCTTGGTGCACGCCTCGGTCCGCTGCGGGTTCGCCGCTCGCTCGCCAGGCCTCTCGCTGGCGTCGGCGCCATTCTGGACTGCCGTCCAGCCCCCTTGTTTCGCCAACCCTTCTCGCTCTCCTGCTTGCCTGCTTTGGAGTTTTTCTTTGATTCTTTCCCGTGCCAATCGTTTTTGCGTTTTAATCTCCCAGGACAACCGTTTTGCCCACGCTCCCTCCAAAGGTTGTAAATTAGCTTTGGGCGCGTCCCGCCATCGCTGTCCCGTCGACTGGAGTCCTCGGTCGGAGGGAAAAGTGTGTATGTGTATGTGTGTGGGTGTGGCGCACGTCTTCACACAAGGTGGCCAATTCATTGTCAGCGAGAAGTTGTGTCACCGCTTAATGTTGTCATCGCCGCGTTGGAGGGAAACAAGGTTTGAGTGCACCCTCTTGTGCGCGTATGCTGGTACGGTGTTTCGCGACTGTGGTGTCACATCGTCGGCTGAGGAGAGGTAGTGGATGCGCCCGCTTGAGCGCGTATGCTGTTACGCGAGTTCGCGCACGTGTGCTGCCTGCGGAATGGCAGGGGGAGAGGTGAGAAATACGATTCCCCTGGGAGGAATGGGACGAGATGGATTGAATCCGCAAACCAGCTGCAGAAACGCCATAACGGGTGGCCAGGTGGCGCGCAGCTGGTGCGCGCGAGCTCCGGGTACGACGTCGCCCCGGGCAAGGGCGGTCTGTTCGAGGCCCCGGGAGCCCAGCAGCTGCCGAACCCGAGGAGTCAAAGTCGCGTCGTGAAAGATAGCGACGGGAGGTTTTGGGTGCAACTTTCAGCCTCCTTGGGGCCTTTTTGGGCCCATGGCCGTGAAAGAAACTATTCGGGATGAACATCAGTCCCAGGGAAGGGGTCGAGATGTCTGGGGGTTCCACGTCATGAATCAAGTCGTAACGCCAGGAGTCTGGGGAGACATGAGAGAGGGGAGAGGGGAATAGAGAGAGTAGAGCGGCGATGGGCAAGCCAGGCGGGCTCGGCTCGGATCACCCTTGTCACTCTCCCCCCTCTCCCAGCCATATCTTCCTATGGTTGTCACCTCCGTATACCTGGTGCGGAGAAGGGTGAGAGACAGGATGGGGACGAGGAGGATAATGCGGAGGACGAGGAGTGGAGGTCAAGGAGGAGTAGGACGAGGACGAGGAGGAGGAGGAGGAGGAGGGAGACGAGGAGGAAGGATAAGGAGAAGGGAAGGAGGAGAAGGATGATAGGATCAGAAGGAGGAGCAGGAGGGGTAGGAAAAGGTGAAGGAAGAGGAGGCGGCGCAGGTGATGACACCTTTCTTTTGAAAGTGATTGCAGTGATGGCAGTGAAGGAGGAAGAAGAGGAGGAGGAGGAGGAGGAGGAGGAGGAGGAGGATATCGACTCCCCATGCATAGGTAATGCTGTCTTTCCCCGAATAGCAGCTGAGTTTTTTCGGAGGTCATCTCGCACCTCTGTTCCCTCTTCCCTCCATCCCTCCCACCCTCCTTCCTTAGGTACCCCTCTCCCCTCTCTTGACGAAATATAGCAAGCATAATCTTTTGGAGGTCCTGGCGCATTTCTCGGGTCTGCGCTGGACCCTATTTGCGGCGCCTCCGGCGCCTCCCCTGGCGCGCTGAACGCGGACATCCGAAAGTTTGTGATCCTGCCGCTTCTTGCCCGCCTGTGCCCTCCACTCCCTCCGTCCTGCAGGGGGTGGCCTCCACGTTGACTGCGTCCTCTGCGCCGGCGCGGACGCTGAAGGGCATGCAGGAGTTCGGCCAGGAGCCGCCCGGGCCCCTCCGCGAGCGCTCCCCAGCTCGGGCCCCAGCCCGCTGAACCGCCCGAGATGGCCTGTGGGTCCCTTCTGCCTCCTCCTCCCAATCACCGAGTCTTCTCCCCATCACGACGTCGACGTCTTCGTTTCGGACGTTTCTGGACGATTCTGGGGGTTCTCATCGCCACGGCTGGACGCAGCTCGAAGAACTGGTCAATATGGACCCTGGGAGGGTCGAACACAGATGATGCGCGGATTGTGCTCCTTGACTTTGGGTGGAGTGATGAGGGCCATCAGAAATCTACCCTGGGCTAGAATCCGGCACCAGGGAAGGGTCAACATATCTCGAGCCCGCGGACCGAAACATCCATCACGCGGATGTCTTTGTCCGCCTGCCCTCTTCTCCCCCGCCTCCCGCTTCCCCCCCTCTCCCAGTCCTACGCCCCCCCCGCCCCTCCCGCCTCCCCTCCTCTCCTCCTCTCCTCCCACCTGCTCTCCTGTTTCTGCCTGCTCCCCTCCTTTCTGCCCCCAGCCTCCTCCCCCCCAATGCCACAGTGTCTGCGTAAGCTGGCTTGGGCGGAGGGTTAATGGTTAGGGGTTAGGCTTCCCCGGGCATTGAGAAGGGATGGAAGCGGGATGGGTTATGATGGTCGGGGCACAGGCCGATGTGGAACGATCTATGTGGTGTTGGGCATTCTAAACAGAACGTTGAGGGGCGATTTAGCAATTCGACCGACGACGGATTGAGCGCAGACATTTGCGTCATCCATCTCCATATCCGTTTCAGTTCAGCACTCTGGGTGGCGACTGTTCGAGGAGCGCGCAGGAGGCCGTCGCGCGTGATACCTCGTGTGGCCAATGCTTCGGGGAGCCATAACATGTGTTAGGGTGCTCGGCGTCGTGTTGGAGTGCTTCTCCTCTTGTTCGTCGTTGTCTTCCCACCCTCTTCTTTTCCTCTTCTCTTGCGGCCTATTCGGGGGCATGCTTCGGAGGTGTTCTTGGGCAGTCTGGCACCTGTGAGACCGTCTTGGGGACCTCTCTGAGCCGTCTTAGGACCCTGACGGGCCGTCTGCGGGGTCTCCTGGGCCGCCTCGGGGCCTCCTTGGACCGCCTTGAAGCCTGAGGACCTCTCGGGCTACGGGCATCCTGGGCCGCCCTGTAGGCCTCTTGGGGCTGACGGAAGTCAGAGAAATTGCGACGTCTCAGGAGAGGTCGACGGCGATGATGACGACGACGACGACGACAGCGACAGCGACAGCGACAGTGACAACGAGCTTCTTGTCGTCTTGTTGCAGATCTCTTGGCGTTTCCAGAGGCTCTCGTCACCACGGCAGGACGCGGCTCGGAAAAAATAGCCAGGACGCGTTCTGAGAAGGACGGGTTGTGAGCGGATTCCCGTCCGACGGCGGCGCCAACGGCAACGACGGATGGCGACGGGGGAGCCGGGACCGCGGCCACCGCAGGAGTACGCGGCCAGCCTCGGGGTGCCCGCAGGCCAGGTGCGCTTCTGAGGGCTGCGCGTTCGAGCGCCGGGCGCCGGACGCTTCAGAGCGCCGCGCCGCGAGCGGGCCTGGCACGCCTCTCGCTCGCGCTCCTTGGCAATCCCTATCCTGGTTCGTCTCGCGGCTCCCAAGGGGTCCCAGAACGGCGCGGGTACCACACCGTCCAGTGAGTTCGAGCGAGAAGTAGCGAAAACATAGGCCTCTGCAGGTCCGCACGGACCCCCGTGGTGCCGCCTAAAGCGCCGGAAGGAGGCATGGCTGAGGAGGGGGGGGGAAGGCGGCGGCGGAGGAGAAGGAGGAAGAGACGAACAACGAGATGAGGATAGGGAGAAACAATGAGGGATCTGTGCTGGCATTTGGAGTCCACGCTGCGGCGGCGCCTCGCTGGGCCGCCCCCAGCCCCAGGGCAACCAGCTGCGTCCCTGTGCAACAAGCTACATGAGCTTGCGTCTTCGGAGGTTCACGCGGATTTCTTGGGTCGGCGCGAACCATGGAAATTCAGTATTCGTGTTTGGTTTTGGTGCTCTATGGGTCAACCGTGACTCGGGGGCAGTGGACAACTTTGGACTTGGATCGCTCTCCGAGGATGTCTCGAGCGCATGAGGCCTCCAAAGTCCTGAAGCCGTCCCGTCCAGGACCGTCTGGTGGGGTTTTCGGGATCTCGCTGGCATCAGATCGTCGGTGACCAGACGGGTTTAGAGCACATCATCTTTGAGCAGGCAAAAGTCGAGCAGGCCCAGAAAGAAGATGACTCGTTCAAGAGCGTTCCAGAATGCTCAGAGGGTTTCACATCGCTCTAGAATGGCCGCGGCGCCAAGTACATCTTCCATACCTGTACGACCATCCATCGGGTGATAAGGAGGTTGGGTGGGGTGGACCAACTGATGACAACTGCGCTGGGACACCATTAGGGCACCCTGGGGACAAACAAATGCCCCCATAGGGACACCATCAGGACACCATTGCGGTCAATCCGTACATTATTTGTCAATCGATCTCACGATTGGCCCCACTACAGGTCTCGCTGTCGACCTCACTTTCGGTCACACTATCTTTGAACTCCGTTCTGCTGCCCTGCTGCAGTCCAGAGTGAGCGCAGCCCCTTTTGCTCCGACCAGCGTGCCAGCAGGCTCACGAGTCTCGGGCGCGGGCCGCCCGAGAGGCAGTAAAACCTCGGGCCCCAGGCTTGGGCCCACAGTGGTTGCGGGAGCACGGGAGAGGGGCAGAGGGAGAGCAAAGAGGAAAGGGATAGGCGGGTTGAGGCGAGCCTGGAAATCTTCACACGCCCTCAAAAGGAGACGCCGAAAACCGCCTGGCTGGCACCTCAATCTGCGATGTCCCGCATCTCATTCGCTCTCACGAGTTTGTCCTTCTGCCTCTTCTCCGTCTTCCTAGTGTCGATGGCGGTCTTGCGGCTAGCACGCTGCATACTCTTCTTCATCTTGATCGCCGCCGCCGCCGGATCCTGCACCAGGCTCCACTTGGCCTCCCGCAGCACCTTGTAGAGGTAGACCTTGTCCACCCCCAGCTTCGTCAGCACATCTGCGATGTTCTGCGAGCCGTCGATCCACCTGAGGTGGGTGTTCTCGCAGCGCAGCATCTCTCTGAGCAAGGCGCCCTCGATCGCCATCCTCTTGTCCTTGCTCTTGGTCGAGCCCTCCTTTGTGAGGTGGTCGTAGACGGACTTTGCGTCTGTCGCCCAAAAGCGGGGAAGCCGCTGCACCTCCCCCTGCCAGTTGAGCAAATCCACCGAGACGTTCATCGCCTCTCTGAACAGCACTGCCGCCCAGTCGACGGCCTCCACTGCGTCCGCCAGGTGACTGGCCTCCGCTGCCAAGGTTGAGCGGCACACACGCTGCGTCATGCCACTCTTCCAGTCCAGCACTGCCACCGGTGCCTGGTGTCCGGCCAGGATGCCGTCGGTCGTGAGGAGCACCACGTGGCCACCGCAACTCTTGTAGCGCTCGATGTCGTCGTGCTCGGGGCCGTTCGCGTGACCCGCGTCCACGGCCGCGCCAATCACAGCGCTGGACAGCCTCAAGTTGGCCGGGTAGACCAGCGCGACCTCAGCGCCCTTCTTGGCCTCAGACACCGCCAGGTTCGCCTTCACCAGGTCCGCCACACACGGGGCAGCTCGGGCCCTCTGCAGCTCGCCCGAGAGGAAGGCCAGGTCGAGTCGGCACTGTCGACCTAGCCAGCCGATCTCACCAGATACCCTCAGCAGCTCCTTCGCCTCATCCTCGTTCAAGTCCTCCTGCAGCTGCTTCCTTCGACCTGCTGGGATCTTGATCGGCTTGAGGGAAGTTGCGTAGTTCACCATCTTAACCAGAAAACCTCTCGGATCACTCGAAAGCTCACGGCCGCGGAAGGTGAAGGGCAGCTCGCTCCACTTCCACTGGAACGTACCCAGGACCTTCGGCAAGAGGTCCGACAGCTGCATGTCCTTCATCCTCGCCACCAGCACGTCGTCAACGTGCGAGACCGCGATGCCCTTCAGCTGCCCGTCCACGCGCTTGTAGAAGAGCGCCGGCTCCAGGCGCGACTGAAGCCAGCCGTCGGACAGCAAGGCGTCACGCAGCGCTAGCCAGAATAGCCTTGCTGCCTCCGCGAAGCCGTAGATGGCCTTGCGGGCCCTCGGCAACTGGCCCGGGGCAAGGCCAGGCAGGCCTCCTCGAGGCTGCTCCAGGTAGACCTCGCGCTCCAGGTTCTGCCCATTGAAGTAGGCGTTCTTGACGTCGCCCAGGGAGAGGATCATGCCCATAGCCGCCGCCAGTGTCAGGAGCAGCGCCTCCGCCAGCCGTGAGGCAGTGGGAGCGTCCCGCCTGAACATACCCAGCAAGCGGTCGCGAAAGCCCACCACGACCAGGCGACTCTTCGCGAGCAGCGGCAGAGGGGCTCCGGCCTCATCGTACTTACCGTCGTTCTTGTCGGTATCCACCCAGCGCATCGGGATGATGATGTTGGCCTTGTCCGCGCGGAGCGCCTCGCTCTCATCCGGCGGGATCGGCTCTGCCGCGTCAAAGTCCTGCCAGGATCGCCACTCTGCATCACGGCTGCCACCTCGATCCATGAACATCCGGCGTTGCTCCTCAGGCAAGCTGCCGAGCTTGATCTCCTTCCTCCCAGGCTTCTTCGTCAGGAAAGCGTGCTCGAACTCATTCCGTATCAGCCCGAAGATGAACTCCTCCTTGCCGATGCCCTCCTGGATAAAGAAAGCCTCGTCCTGCTGGTACGTCTCCAAGCCGGCCTCCATGAACTCATCCAGGTCATTGTCCAGCACGAACTTAGCCGAATCGGCAGGCGCCGAGAGGCTGGATCCTGCAGTCCCCTGTCGGATCGAGACAGGGACATCGTCCAGCAGGCGCCGTCGCTTGGCCTCCCGCTCGCGGCGCTCCTCAGTCTCCTCTTCCTCCAGGAGACTCCCAGGACGCCGATGCCGAGAGGCCCCCGGCTCGGGCTCCGTGTGCACCCCGTGGGAGTCGGGGTGCCAGTCATCGTCGCCGTCGTCCCTCATGATCTCCTGCATCGCCGCGTCGAACTCCATCGCGTCGAAGTCCAGGTCGGGCGGCACGGGCACGTCCTCAGCCCCCACAGCTGGGGCTGGCGCCGCGGGCGGCTCGGGCGCGGCTGGAGCCGCGCGGGGAGCCTCCGCCTCAGGCGGGGCCGGAGGCGCCTCCGGCTCAGGCGGAGCCGAGGCGGGCTGCGGCTCCTCCGGCACCTCCGCCCGCGGCCCGACGTCCATGCCGCTCTCGTCGCCCTGCTCAGCGGGCTCCTGTCCCGCCGCGGCGGGGGGCTTGGGCCGGCCTCGCAGGTCAACGAAGCCGCTGCCGCCGCTGACGGGCGTGTCGTGCACCAACTCCTGCTCCTGCGCAATCGATCTCCAGGCGTGGATCTCGTGGCCAGTCGCTGCAGCCAGGTGCTCCGGGCTCGCGAGCACGGTGAGGCCACGGAAAGCAAGCCACACTCCATGCCGTCGCTCATGTCCGATCACGCGCGCCAGCCCTCGCCTGTTGTCTGGATGCTCAGGTCGATGCTTGGCTGGCTGCGCTTGGTCGTAGAAAAGCACCCACTGGCCAACAACGAACGGCCCTCTCGTCGGTCGTATCTGTCGAAGCTCCGCTCGTCGAAGTCGATCCTCCGTGTCGGTCTGGATGAAAGCCATCCGGCACTGGGTCCTGATCTCCACCTTGCGGGCAAAACGCGAGCCCGGCGTAGCAGCTGCCACCTGCTCGCCCACGCGCTCCACCTCGGCGTCGTCCGCGAGGCTCGCCGGGAGGCGAACATCTCGTCCGAGGACCCAGAGGTAGGGACTGAAACCAGCCCGCCGGGCCAACGTGTTCTTGGCCCTGTTGCACTCCGTCACTGCCGTTCTCATCTCCTCAAGGCCCGCCACCTGCTTGTCGTGCGCCACCCTCGTGAGCATCGAGTTCCAGATGCCGTCGTGGCGCTCCATCTTGCCGATGTGCCACGGCGAGGCCAGAGCGGCCGAGTCCAAGCGCGCGCCCTCCTGCTCCAGGTAATCCGCGAACTCGCCCAGGAAGGACCGCGCGCGGTCCACCATGATCGCCTCCTCCGGCTGGCCAGCCCAGGAGACCCAGCAGAGCTCGTAGAATTTCCTGACATCCGAGGCCTTGGGGTTCTTGTGAGTGTCCTCCAGCAGGCAGACCACGTGGAAGTTCGTCCCCATACTGTATGGGGACGAACTTCCAGGGCGGCTCCAGGGGTCGCCTCAAGTCGCCCCGACGACGCGCCAGCGCGATTCCGATCGCGCCCTAGGTGCCCCGATGCGCCCGGGAGCATGGGCAACGCATGGGAAGCAACATCAATGTGAAAAGCGATGGGGGGGGGGGGGGGGTCGGTGTACGAGTTGGCGCACGAACGACGCATGGAAATTCGCACGCCTATTGCCGCGCGTGCGCAGCCCCGAGGTTCCCTGGCAAGCCGTTATGTGAGTGCGCTTGCTTTTTTTTTTTTTTTTTTTTTTTGTTCTTTTTTCTTTTTTTGTTTTT